GCGAAAGTAATTTTGTGTTGTCACAGACGGAACTGTTGGCAATCCAAGTTAACACCGGTATTCTTGAATTGTGAGCTCTTAGGAAAGTATCCCCTCCTTGTATGTTGCAAATAGCCATTTCCAGTGGGGAAAACAGGACAAAGCAGAGTGGGGAACAATATTTTCCTTTGGTATATTTCCCGTCTGAATTAGACCAAGGCAGAAGAGCCCTTTTAAGGATTATGTATTAATAGAAAAACAGCTAACCTACCTCTGCTCATAAAAGCTAAAGCTCTTGTACATAAAAAAACAGAGCAGCTCTGATTAACTATCACAGCCACCATTTTGACAGTTTTGCTGTACTGTTGTCTGTGGATGCGTCCACTAAAAGGACGAGATAAATTGAACCTAGTTTGTTCTCAGTCTTTTAAATGGCCATAAACCACTAGCAAAAGTGGCACAAGGCAAGAAGGCATTGAGAAATGTTTCCCCTTTTGGATTTGAGCATCCAAGAAGGGACAGGAAAGGGGAAAGGGAAAGAGGAAAGACAAAGAAAAAAGAAGGAAATAGGGAAGAGTCAGGAAAGAAAAAGAAGGAAAGAGGGGAAGGAAGAAGAATAAAGAGGGAGGGAGGGAGGGAGGGAGGGAGGGAAGGAAGGAAGGAAGGAAGGAAGGAAGGAAGGAAGGAAGGAAGGAAGGGGATTAGAATGAGAGGGAGGGTGTGAGGAAAGTGGCTGAATATACACAAGAATTCCGGGCCATTGCCAGCAAACTGAATTGGCCAGAAGACATCCTCCTTGGCCATTTCAAAGACGGACTAAACTATGATCTATATGATGCCTGCCTGCCCCGAGGGGACCCACATCGACTTGAGGAATGGTACGTCTTGGCAGAGGAAGCAGAGATCGACATATTGAAGAGGCACCGCCAAGGAAAACAATGGAGCCGCCCCCCGCCTGAGCTGACACACCAACTGGTGAAATCATCGGATACAGCCAAGAAGCAAATGGGGTGTTTCAAGTGCGGAAGAGAAGGGCATCGAGCTGTAGAATGCCGCTCAAAGGCCCCCCAGCACAACCCAGACAGATCCCCAATCAGCCAATCTGGAAAGTCTTCAGCTAAGCCAAAAGAAACTGCCATGAGAATGATGGAAATTGCGGAACCCTCCACCTCTGCTCTAAAGTGGCTGCCCCGGTCCTTTTTAGAGAGAAGAAGGATGGCTCCTTACGTTTATGCGTGGATTATAGGGCCCTGAATACAATCAGTGAAAGCAACCTATACCCTCTGCCCCTCATGAAAGACATGCTGTCACACCTATCGAAAGGGAAATTTTTTTCTAAACTAGACCTAAGGGAAGCTTACTATCGCGTGAGAATTAAGGAAGGGGACGAATGGAAGACTGCATTTAACTGCCCCATGGGGTGCTATCAATTCAAAGTCTTGCCATTTGGATTACAAGGGGGCCCTGCAGTCTTTATGCAATTAATCAATGACGTTCTAAGGGAGCACCTGTTTAAGGGGGTCCTTGTGTACTTGGACGACATTCTTATCTTTACTGAAACAAAAGAGGAACACGTCAACCTTGTCAGGGCGGTTTTAAAGAAGCTGCGAGCCGCCCACTTATATGCCAAACTCTCAAAATGCGAATTCCACCAGGAAAGGATAGACTACCTAGGCTATCGCATATCCCCACAGGGCATTGAAATGGACCCAGAGAAGGTCAAAGCAGTATTAGATTGGGCGCCACCCCGCACAAGAAAGCAACTACAAAGTTTCCTGGGCTTTGCAAACTTTTACCACCAATTCATCATCCCCTCATTTGCCCAGATAGCCTTGCCCCTCACTAACTTACTAAAAACGAAGGGAGCATCCTCAGTAAAACCTAGCCAGCCACTAACATGGACAATGGAGTGCCAAGCAGCGTTTGAGAGACTAAAGAGACTTTTTTCTGCCGAACCAGTACTAAGGCACCCAGACATGGACAAGCCCTTCATAATACAGGCAGATGCAAGTGATGTGGCAGTGGGGGCTGTGCTATTACAAGAAAATGATGATGCAGTATTGCAACCCTGTGCATATACATCCAAGAAACTCACGGAAACAGAACAGCGCTGGCCCGTATGGGAGAAGGAGGCTTATGGGATACGTTGGGCATTACTCACGTGGCGACAGTTCCTGGAAGGCAACAAAATCCCCTTCCAGGTGTGGACTGATCACAAAAATTTAGAAGCCCTGAAAACGTCCAGGAAACTCAATCCCAAACAAGCCCGCTGGTCCAGCATTTTCACCAATTCCAATTTAAGCTCAAACATTTACCAGGAAGAATGCCGCCAATATAACAGCGCACGAACCACAGACTCTAGACCAAAAATGGCAGAGTCACAACTGGCAGCACCAGTAACCACAAGAACCCAAGCCAAATTAAAACCACAGCTGGACAGCCAAACTGGAATTGAATTCAGAAAAAGTTTGGAAACAGATGAATGGTTCCAGAAAAACAAAAATGTGTGCACAATGAGAGAAGGGTTGCCTTGGGTAGGGGAAAAGTTATATATACCAACAACTCAAAGAGTAACTTTCATGCACCTTTGCCATGACACAAAATCAGCAGGGCATTTTGGATTTGTAAAAACTTTACATTTAATTAACCGGCAATTTTGGTGGCCATCCATGAAAAAGGACATTGAAAGTTATATAGCCAGTTGTCCAAAATGTGCCACGGCAAAGAGGTTGCAAGGGAAAGTGCCAGGACTATTGCAAACAGTGGCAAGTCCCTCAGCCCCTGGAGAGAAATAGCCATGGATTTTATAGTGGAATTGCCAGAAAGCAATGGGAATACTGTGGTCTGGACGGTCACGGACTTGTTTTCCAAACAGGTGCACTTTATCCCTTGCCAAAAGATTCCCACTGCAAAAGCCTTAGCAAAACTTTTCATCCAACACATTTACAGATTGCGTTGGGGTGCCCCATGCAATCTGTAAATGTGTTGGATGAAAAGGGGGGTGCAATTTACGTCTGCATTTTGGAAGGAATTTTTATCCCTCTTAGGAACCACTCAGGGACTGACATCTAGCCACCACCCTCAAGGAAATGGATCGGATGAAAAAATGAACTCCGTACTTAAGCAATATTTAAGATGTTTTGTTAGTTTCCAGCAGACCGAGTGGGCGGACTTACTCCCTTTTGCAGAAGTTGCCTACAATAATGCAGTCCACTCCAGCACAGGTTACACTCCTTTTCAAATAGCCACCGGTCAAAGTTTCAACCCCATGCCAGAATTAACCCCAAACGAACCAACAACCCCTTCGCTGAAAGAATGGATGGAGAAACTACAAAACACCTGGCCAATAGTCAGAAAAGCACTAGATGAAGCTAGGCAGGCATACAAAACACAAGCCGATAAAAAAAGAGTACACCATTCATTATAGGAGAAATGGTGTACTTATCTACAAAATACCTAAAGTCCCTACAGCCCTGTAAAAAACTTGGACCAAAATATATAGGACCTTTGCCAATTAAAAGAATCATAAATCCAGTAACAGTAGAATTAGAATTACCCAAAAACCTCAGGCAAATACACCCAATTTTTCATTGCAGCTTGCTGAAAAGAGAGCATCAGTCACATCTACGGCCAAAAATTCCCCCACCACCACCTCCACTCATGGTGGAGGGTGAACAACACTTCGAAATAAAGGAAATCCTTGATTCTAGGAGATATCATGGAGCAACTCAGTACCTAGTTGACTGGAAACACCTCCCTCCCTCACAAAACGAGTGGGTCCATAAACGTCATGTCAGAGCCCCGAAGCTATTGAAGAAGTTTCACACAGAGTATCCTAACAAGCCTGACTAAATTTTATACTTGTGTTTTCTTTCAGGTGGATCTCTCTTATTTTTAAGAGGGGCTGGATGTCAGAATCCAATTATATTTCATCTTTAATTATCAAATATAGAAACTCCCAATTCTGCCTTTTCTGGATTCTGCCATAAGAGGGAGAGAAGGGGGAGAACAAAGGGGCTTTATGGCCCTCACTTCCTTCAGTATACTTCAAGGAGCTGAATGCTGAATGTGTGTTTATTGTAAACCTCAAAGCGTTAGCACCAAAGAACCTTACCATAACAAAGAAGGGTATTTGCCTTTCATGTAGTTATCTGAAGTCTCCATCCAGACGGAAGAAAGAAAAAAGGGGGTGGAATTGTGATACCTGAAACTATCACTGGAAGGGGGGTTGATTGGGTGGGACTACTGGGGAACCCCTTAAAAACTTGAATGGGAGGGCTTGGACCCCAAGTCCTGTCTAGCACGCCTGCAACCACTTCTTCTTAATAAAGGATTCCTGTTGGAAGAATTATTCCAAGAGTTCTGTCTTCTTAAGATGCAAAGTGGGGTGGGTCCTTACACACGGGGGTCGCCAAACAATGCAGTCTGCCATTTTTTCCCCCTTTTCCTTAGGTGTGCTATTCCCTTTTATTCTATTGGCTTTTGAAAGTCAATAGAATAGACTCTCTTGAATAGAGTCTAATTCTATTGGCTTTCAAAAGCCAATAGGAATTGTCCAGGCTGTCTCTGCCCTGCTGAGCCCGCCAAAAGTCCCATTCTGCAAACGGTGCTGCACCATTGAGTAGTCCTCGACTTACGACCGGTTGAGTAGTCCTCGACTTGGGGGTTGGGGGGGGTCGCGGCATTAAAAAGGTTGAGAACCACTGCATTATAGCTTTGGATTCCAAATTTCCAGAAGTTCAAAAAGATTGCAATTAAACTGTTAAGGCTTCTAACAAAGTTCCATCCACTTTTTGTAAACTTTTCACATATTTTCAACATTTTGTACATGCATATTTCAACTATTATAATAAAAAATATGCAATTCAACATTTGCTAGTAATTGCTATTTTAGAACATTATTTTCTATAGCTAATTTAGTTCCTATGAAATCAGAGATTTTTTTTAAATATACATTCTGGCCAAACGTTTTAAAACTTGTTGCCTAATTTGCAATAAATACCAAAGTATGCTAGAAAATGTAAAATGAAGTTCAGTTCTAATTCTTTATTTAGTATTCCACTATTACCCACTGGTAAAGTACCCAGACTGCCCATTATGTAGTTTCCATGCAGACACTATACATTTCCATTACAGGAAAGAAAAGCTAGCATGTCCAGAAACTGACATCTTAGATCTATGTGAGTTACAATGGGGAGCTCAGTGTTAAGCACTCTAAATATCATAATGCCTAAATAAGGCTAGGATGTAAGTAGATTTTAGTGAACTGTAAGAATTCTAAGATAATAGTTCATAAGCACATATTTTGCAGCGATTTAATAACTAAATCAATCATCAAAGTTGTATTGAGAGTTATGTGTATCAAATTGAACCTCAGGTAAACATAAAAATCCAGCCACGTTTTGCCACTTTATTATTATAGGATGTTTTTTTGCATCTAAGATACTTTAGGCTTTATGTTCTCTATGATACATAGCAAAATGTGCTCAGAACTGTGGGAAATTTGAAAACACATTCATGACATAACAATTCACTTTAATTTAATGGTCCATTATTGAAATATAGGGGAAATATATGAAGATCTATTGAACATGACCATTCCAAACTTTTTATTCTGCCATGAAGTTCCTTAGTTGTATGTTGTTGCATATTAGTACCCGATGTTCTCCAGTATGGCCATGCTGGCTGGAATTGAGAAAAATTACAATTCAGAACTGTTATAGTATATCAGATTAATGAATTATTTATAGCAATATATAATAAAAATACTGAAAATCTTAAATTTATTTCCATTAAGTAATCTTGCATAGAGTGAATATTCTATTTGTCATGTGCAGTTTACAATTAAATATATGTAAAACATGATTGTCAAATCTAAAATATAAGACATAAAAACAAAGGCACATAGATTGTCAATTATCACATATTTCTTTGAAACAAAGTAGCTTGTGAGCTTTGTAAACAATGTATTCTTACACTTTTAAAGTGAAGACAGTGCTGACTTAATTATTCCTTCATTGAGAGTAGCGATGACAATATATTTTGCCATTCCTAAAACATAAATGCCTTCATATTTATGGTTCTTTTCAGCAACTGAATAATGAATAATAAACCTGAATACAAATATATCTCTAATTCACTGCAGTAATGTGTACTAATTCAACTTCAAAGATCCCTACTAAGAAAAGTTCTATAAAGAATAATTCAAGATAAAACCATAAAAATCTGGTACAAAATATAATAACCAACCCACCCATCCACTGTTAACATCACTATGCTAATCCTAACCTTTTTGAACTTGTAGCCTAATGTCAGATGCAACTATGTTAGACAGGGGTCCCCAACCCCCGGGCTGTGGCCTATTACTGGGTCATGGCCTATTCGAAACTAGGCTGTGCGAAGCAGCACTCATACAAGTGGCAGACAAGCGCAGGCAAAACTGCACTTGTGCAAGCGATGGGCCCTTGCATTCAAGCACAAAGCTCCATTTGCATGAATGGAGCTTTGCGCATGAGCAGTCTCTGCTCATGCAAGTGGAGCTTCACACGTAAGCACAAGCACCCTCTGCTCAATTGCCCTCTGCTTGTGCACAAAGCTCCATTTGCACGTGGAAGGCCTGAATGCCTGTCGCTCACACCAATGGAGCTATGTGAATGTGCCTGCCACTCATACTTCCCCTTCTCTACCAGGCTACCAAGGTAGAAAGGTTGGGGACTGCTCATGTATGATACATGTGGTTTCATAAGTCATGTTTCATCATTATTCCCAACCCTCAACTTGTAGTTGCCTAAGATGATCACTATCTTCATTTTGTCCTCAATGGAAGATAATGCAGACTTCAAATAACAGCATATTAGAGCATACCATTTCTTTAGGAATGACCTTCGAGCATCAAATATTCTCCTACAATGGTCTGTTCAATATGAATGTCTGGAGAGCAGAGCTTGCAATAATCACCTTTCCTTAGTTTTTCTGATACTAAGGTCCCTTATACTTTTTGTGAGTTGTTTTATGAACACTTTGTATATTCTTCCACAGTACGTATGTTGTGTCTTTTGTAATTCCTGTTCAAGAGGTAGAAGCAATGCATGTAGAAGGTCGTCTTCAAATGAATACTGGAAAAGTATTAGAAACATTGTATTGATAAGCCAGATTTGCCAATGCCATTTCAACAATGCCAGGTTTTCTGATGAGGTTCTGAAACTACTGTTATACTGCATTTTATAAATATGTTTTTCTAAGTAAAATAATCTAGGTCCAGTGAAAAACCTGCCCCTATTTTTGATATTCTTAATCCTCATTAGGCAAGGCAGCAATATCACCTAATAATTCATAATGTCCTGTTACTATCATTTTAAATGAAATTTAAAAACATGTACAAACCACAAATATTCACCCAAGATACATAAAAATCATATTAGCACTTAAATTAATGCATTAATTTTTGTAGAGCATATTGTTCTGATAAAGTGATTTTACTCTGAAATATATATAACTTCCCCCAGGGTATTCAAGTGATATATTAATATATAATATATTGAGTAGAAATAGCATAAAAATAGCAATCTATAGAAAGGGTACTTTCATTAAACTGAATTATAAACACACACAGACAGTATATAATGCAAACGTGAAGTAAAGGGTTTTATACTCTTCAGTTATAAGTTTGTTTAATATATTATAAATGAAGTAATATATGCAAACACAACATTACAAATAAAATAACTGCTAGTTTGCTGGAATTGTTCTGCATAACTTATGTTTATGCAATTGTTTTGCATAAACAAAATCTGATCATAAATAAAGCCAACAGTTTTCTTCTCTTAATATTTTTTGGTGTTACTTAAAGGAATTAAGAAATTACATTTTTATGAGACCACATTTTCTTTTGGTGTAATGGATTCTAAGGCCCCCAATAGTACTTTTTTCATTTTTATACCTATATGGCAAATGCCACAAAGCACCATTAAAATATACTATTGATTTTTGAAGATTATATATAAGATAGGATGAACATTAAAATAAGCAATATTGCTGCATTTATAGCTCTTCAGTGAATATACTGAAAGACTGATAGTTTATTAGAAATCTTATTTTGCAGAACTGGAAAACTGAATAGTTATGCTAAGCATCTGTAACAGGGGTCTTCAAACTTTGCCCTTTTATGACTTGTGGACTTCAACTCCCAGAATTCCTCAGCCAGCATGCCTGGCTGAGGAATTCTGGGAATTGAAGTCCACAAGTCATAAAAGGGCTAAGTTTGAAGACCCCAATCTATAATATTAAAAAGGTACAAAATAAAATAAGAAAATTATATAACTATGACATTGAAATAAAAATTTTCAATAACAAAGCATCATATATAATTTTAGCAATAAAAAGGAAGCAAGGAATTGTCATATTCCTCTGCAGAAATTGTTACTTTGATTCATTAGTGCAAATTACTAATACTAATTACTAATATTAATTACTAATTACAACCATTTATAGAAGCAACATATTGCATGGAATTTCTTAAGCATAGTATTGGGCTCCTGAGTCAAAATAATCTATCTCCCCAGGTCTTGATGAATTTAAAATTAAAAAGCTTAATACTATCAAGTTTTTCAGTGTCTCACTGAAATCAATATTGTGATTATGTCACTTCTGCCCTTCTGTATAGGCCAAAGCTTTACTTCTTTCAAAGTTTATTTTATTCTTGAATATTTCAGAACAGATTCTGGAATGTGCACTTTCAATGTCTTTATTTATTTTTAAAAATAAAATAAATAAAATTTATTGTATAATTGATGGTAATAGATTTATTTGAAGGCTTGAAGTAGAGTTCTCAGAATTATTTTTAATTTTAAAAGTTCAGATTAAAATGTTTACTTACATTTTTAATTGCATCATAAACAGCACGAAATGTTGGCTGCTTATCATCATGGTAAACTCCTCTATTTCCATGAAGAATGAATATTCCTTCCTTTTCTGCTTCCTGGCAATTGCTCCCATAAATACAATGGTCAGGCCGATAATTCCATTGGCAAGGAAAAACAAAAAGGCTTTCTATAGTGAACAACAAAAAATCCTCCATTATAATGTTTCGAGGCAGACTGTTCATTGAAGGACTTAGGCCAGTGATGACGAACCTTTTAGAGACCGAGTGCCCAAAAACTGGCTCCACCCCTGTTCCACCCCTGCCCTGCCCCCACCCTGCCTGCCTGTGGGACCATTCACTGCCTCCAGGGCCCGCCGCAGATCACTCAGGCAACCCAGCAGTGCCATGGCGGCCACGCCCTCTGCCGTGCCCCGCAGCATCAACTGTGCGTAATCGGGCGTGAGGGCAGAGTCTTGTCTATGCTACCTGGCTGCCATGTCCTTGGCTGTACTGCTCCACGTGGGCCACACTCGGGGGCGACTCTCCTCAGGGGCGCTGCTGGTGAGGAGGGGGTCGCGGGGGAGGCAAGGCTGGGGCAACAGTATGTGTGCCCACAGAGAGGGCTCTGAGTGCCGCCTCTGGCACCTGTGCCATAGGTTCACCACCACTGACTTAGGCTATAAAGTCCAAGCCCTTATTCAATGGAAAAATTAAAATTAACGTATGTCTAACAGATTGCTGTCCCTGCTATACCTGAATACATACAACAAAGTGAAACTTACACCCTCATTTGATAACTGGTTCAACTGTTGAAATGTGTGACCATTACAAAAATTTCCCTAACACTCAACTGAAATGTTTTCCTCCAACTTAATACCATTATTCTGTGTCTGGCACTATAGGATATTAAAGAAAACGTAATGGCTTTCCTTTGTACTACTTGAAGAGAGCTTTATTTCCTTGTGTCAGCCATTTTCTTTTAAAGCAAAAAACACCCTGCCTCCTTGAGGTTTTTATAGGACTTAACTGTCTAATCCCCTAACCATTCTTCTTGCTCTTCTTTTTACTTGTCTGTTTGTCTAAACTCAACACAGTAACAAGGTGAGGTGCATCAGAACTATTCCCAATTATCTGGATTTGAAAAGTATAATTCCCAATTATATTTTTATTAATGTAATGGCCTGCCTTCCCCTAATAATGCAGTTACCCAATCACTGTTACAACTTTTATAAAACTTTAAAATATGGGCCTTGTGGACAATTAAAATTCAACTGATACGGTAGTTTAATCAAACCAATACAGTGGTACCTCAGTGCTCATCATTAATTTGTTCTGGAAGATGCGCCAAATACTAAAACTGACGGGTACTGAGAAAATCATGTGACTTACTATATGACCTGCTATTTCGGCCAGAAGAAATAGCGAGTTATAAGGCAGCAAATACAAGCAAGTTTTTCCTTGCATGTTAACTATCAGGAGAAAAACGAGCACCAGGGCAAGATTTCTGCTTCAAAATGCGTTGAATACCGAATTTGACAAGTTTTGAAGCAGTCAAGTGCCGAGGTATAACTGTATATGATTAGCATGGGAGCACTTTAAAACAGAGTACATTTGTATAACATAAATAGCAATATCATTTTAAGATTCAGAATTAAAATTGCATTTTTAAAAGCAACTTACCAGGATTATGAAAAAACATAATGTTCAAAAGATCCTGATCTCCCCATGTTATATTCAACTTGTATTTTTTCAGCAGCGGCATGAGAATATCTTCCCAACGTAATTCTACTGATGTCATATCATTCTTCAAAATCAAAATACCAGAATTAGAAGTAAGAGGATCTAAATCCTACTTATGATAAAATATATGCTTCTTTAATCTTTATCATACAATGCCTCATTTTTACATCGTATTATGTCATGGTAATAAGTCTTTCTGATTTAAATAGGCAATGTTTTTTAATTATTAAATATTTATAAAAAAAATAAAACCAAAAGCTTATTCAGTTTAGATTCTACCAGATTAAACTACAAACTTCTACAAAAACAAGAAATATACACAAGGCTCAATATAAAGTACTTTCCAAAAATGAGTAAGAAAGTATATCCAAAAACAGAGATTTATGTATTTTAGTGTTGTCTAACAATGCACAAAACATTACTAGACTAAACAAAATAATGTTCAACTAACCTAAAATACCTAAATTTGAAAATAGCACACATGAGTCTAAAGAATAGTTTCAATTTTCAAATACAAGGTTAAAACCTGGCTTTTCCTATTGCTTTTTCTTTCTTTAATAAAATCTTTCAGGGCACAAATTACATATGGAATCCAAAAGCATGCTAGAAGGCACCTGAAAGTCATATTTTCAGTTCAAACATTCTAAAATTAAAAATTGGAAAGGGTAGTAAATGTTGTATTTCCGCATCCTGATTTGGAGTTAATATAAAGAGTAAAAAACTAGACTACACTTTTTTACATTGGAATGAATTATTTCATGAATTTATCACTTATGAACAATGTCCTTACAGAGGACATTTTGGACAGATTGTGAGAATGAAACAAATGTCTTAAAATGATTGTACATAAACATAATCTTAAATGCAGTGTGTTTATAATCATTCTATAGTTTTAAGTCAATAGTCTATTAGCACCACCTTCTGGTTAGATTGCATAGTACAAATTACTGAGTGAGTATAACATGAAGTTTCAAGATAAAAGAACAATGAGAAATGAGTAGGTAGGAAGCAGAAGAAAAATGAAAAAATAAATGACAAAAAGTATTTCATTAAAAAAAACATTAATTGAGAATCAAGGGTATATGATGTTTATATGGGATTAATTAGAATCCATTTTGTGATAATACTAAAAAAACATGCTGTTTTAATTTACAGAATAGTACCTAAAATGAAAAAGAACCAAAGCACCCTACCTTGAAATATTTTCTTCTAATGCGGGTCATGTTCATTAACATTACTCCAGAATTGATTCCAGTTTTTCCATAATATGGGTGCCTAGCAAAGCGATTATACCACCCAATACGAGGTTCTTCATGCTCTGGTGCCATAGCAGCAATCTGAGTAGAGTTGAATTTTTTCAGGAAAGACCAGATATCATCAACAGGTCTTAAGAGCAAGATGTCTGTGTCAACATACAGTAGAGAATCCACATTACTGAGGATTAACTGTAAAAGAAAAAAAAATGAAACAAAATTAACATCAAACTGTGACATTTTATTCAATAGCTATTGTAAAGGTTTTATTTATGATTACTGAACTACAAAAGTAGGCATTTAAACATCTGTTTTTTAAATTATCTATTTTTTATTCTGATGAAGAATAAAAGCACATTAACTATGATTCCCTACAGGCTGAATTTATTTTTTTTTTAAAATAAGCTGTTACATTAGCATTCAATTTATTTTTGCAGTGTTTTCCTGCTTTTAATACTGGAAGCTGTTAGAGCACACTTATAAAAAAGTTGCTTAATCTGTGTTTTCCATTCAATATAAGGCTCAAAAAAGCCTAAACTTTGTTTATCTGAATGTTCCAATAAAAAAGAATAAAAATTATAGTCCTAGGCATGAATTCTAGGTTGATAAGACATGGCAAAAAAGGAGTGTCTCCAAGGAAGATTCTATACAGGAAGAAGCCCAAAAGAATAGACTAAGGTGGGCTAATGCCGCTGAAGTTGATGAAGTATATTAAAAACGATAAATTCTTCACAAAAGACAGAAGGAAAAAAAAACAAATTAGCTGCTAAATGAAGATGACAAAATAACAATAACAACAATAATAATAAATTGTAAAGAAGAGGATGAACTGACAGAAATATAGATCAGGGAATATACATTTACTGTAAATGAGCTTAATTTCAAAAAGCCAGAACAATTGCATGAGATGGTATTAAAAGAACTTGCTAATTATCTAGCTGAACTTTTACAAATTATGTTTGAGAAAGCCTGCGAACTAATTGCCAGTGGGAGAGGAAACTGCAAGGCGGTGCAACTCTACCAATCAGAATTCCAGTAATACTTCCAAGCCAAAGCAATCATCTTTAGTGTGGAGTAACTGGAACATAATACTGAAACAGGAATCTCAACCTACAAGGAATCTCAACCTACCTCTTCATATTCAATCTGATTATATGTTAGAGAATTTTAATTTCTCTGTTGGTGAAAATAAATCAGAAGCTCTCACAGTTGACTGCATTTAACTGATTCAAAATAACTTCTTTATATTTATATCAAAATATTTACAATACCATACATTCTTCTTTACAGCAACATAGCTCAATTGAAGACTTCTAACAGAGAGATATAGAGACAAACCTAAGACTGAAAATTCAGCTTCTAACTCAATACCCTTTTGCACAGACTCAGTAGCACTTTCTTCACACTGGCTGACTGAGTTACCACATGACTCTTCCTGCTCATGAATATTCCAACACTCTCCCTTCATGACAGGAAGAGACATCAGACCTATTGACTTAATACATTCTCCATAGTGAACACCACCCAACGGTTTAGTCATCTTGTCTGCCAAATTATCCTCAGAAGAACAATGATGTAAACTAATCAATTTTCCTTTTACAGCTTCCCTGACATTACAATACTTAATGTCTACATGTTTATTTCTGTTCTTCACCCTGTCACCAGTTGCCATTTTTATACAGGCAGCATTGCTTCAAATACCTTTACAAATTATTTTACATTAATATTTAAATCTTGCAACAACTATACATACCATGTTACTTCAGAACACAATTCAGATAAAGCAATAAACTCTGCTTCTGCTGTTGAAATAGCAACAGTTGTTTGTTTTCTGGATTTCCATCCAGAGTCCCTCCAAACAATATTATAATCCCAGAATTTGATTTCCTTGTGTTTATGTCATTTGCATAATCACTATCGACATAACACTTTAATTTCAATTCCTCAGTAATCTGTATTTGAAGACCCAAATTTATAGTTCCCTTTAAATATCTGAGAACCCTTTTTACACCCATCCAATGTAATTTTGTAGGTGCAGCAGTAAAACGACTCAAAATGTTTACTGCGCAAGCTATGTCTGATCTGGACCACTGTGATAGATATAACAAACACCCTATTGCTGAGTGATATATCTCTTGATCACAGGTTTCACCTTTGTCCGCACTTAAACTATTATAAAAATCCGTACTCATGGGTGTGGGAGCAGTATTGCAATCTTTCATATTATATTTTTCCAATAACTGCTCAATTATTCTCCTTTGACTGAGAATATAACTGTGGGGAAATGCATGCGCAGCAAACTGCCATGCTTTCCCCCCCACAAACCTCATAACCTTTTGATAACTTTTGTCCTAATGAAGCAGCCAGAAGTTCATACCCTTTTGACTTAATGCCTTACCTACCTAAATAAATAATATGCTTAGTTCCTTCTCCTATCTCTTCCTGTCTTTGTTAGTTCCTTCTGTTTTCATCTACCTGTATTTGTTCTTACCTGATCTTTGACCATGTAATGTGTTACTAGAAAATAGTTGCTTACATGAAGACATTTTCCAGTGAAGAATCCTTTGTCAGCATTTAATGGTAAAGCCTATGTATGTAACAAGTATATAAAAAGCAATAAACTCAGTTTGTCAAGCTGTGTCCTGCAGCTTCAAACCTCTGCTCAAGACATGCCTGCGTCTTTTTCTTAGCATCCTACATCTGGCGCCTGAAAACAGGGGCAGCCCCCCCCCATGGAGCAACTGGGACAGCCCCCCCCTTCCGAGGGAGCAACAGCCAACTTACTTACCAGCGTCTGGAATAGACTCCTAAGTGCACTTTCGTCCTACGGGACCCCTCAGTGGTAAGTAAGGGTTGCAATCTATTTCAGCACCAGCAAAGGAACTCAGATTCCTGTTACACAAATCAGGCATGAAAACGCCTGATGCAGACAAAAGGAAGCTGGTGGATGAGGTAGGGAAACATTCCCCTTGATATCCTAAGCGCTGGACGCTTAGGTTACGAGATTGGGAAAAAATAGGGCATACTTTACATCTTGAATCTTGGGCTCCAGTACAGGTATTACATCAATGGCATCAATGCCATCAAGCAGTGGAAAAAATTGGCTCAGATGCTTCAGCAGGGCAACAATTAACTACAAGCCTCACACCTGATTAGGATAAAAGTAAAAACTGTGCCTCCGAAAGCATCTTTAATTGGATTTTCAGCTCTTTCTGAAGAGGCTAATTCTTTTGCCTCCTTACGGTCACCATACACCCCTGTAAGGAAAATATTAGAGGAACAATCTTGAAGTAGTAGACAATGTCTGGTAGTGCTTTGTGTTGATGTGTAGAAGTATAAATAATCTTTAACAAGACAACATTGAAAAACTTTGTAAACCTCCGGTTGGCTAGTTTATCTGGTAACAAGTAAAGCCACGGAAAAAAAAGAAAAGAAAATTCAAAGAACTGAAAGCAAGTTTTTTTTTCCTTTTTCCCCTTTTAATCTGGCTCTATTCAATTCCCCTTTGTCAGATGTGAGGAGAGGAGGCTGCTACTTTTCCCTCACCCTTCACACCTTCAATATTCCTTTTAGTCTTTCCCCAATGTCTTTTGAAGTTGCTGGAATAAGTTGGAAGTAACCATAAATGTTCTCCTTGGAATTTGACTTATTGACCAAAGGAAAACAACCTGGAAAGTGTCTTACACTGCAGTGCAATCCTCATCACAACGCTCAGAATTATCTGCTGCTATTTTAGCATTCCACACCTTTTCTCAACAGACTTTTAACTTAATCTGACTCTTATTATGTGTGCCAATTTATTTTTAATTTTCCAGGTGCTTATATCATGCCCAGGATCGACCCCAATCTTATGGCTTTGTTTTTAACTTTACAGCAGCTATCCTTTGTTTCTCACATACGCATCGGTCCTTTAAGGACTGCCTTCACAAACAAATAAAAAAGGAGGGATCAAGGGTACCTAATTTGGCATGGATAACTCATCAAGTCAATAAAGTCCTAATAACTTTAAATCAGCTAAATATTTCTTTTCAAAAAACTACTGCCTACCAGCGTCATTTTCAGCAGAAAGCTGTGCTCCCTAATCCATTGGTATGTTATCGGCAATTGCCTGAAAAAACCTGGTTAGGTCCAATTCCCTTACTAACTTGGGGGCGAGGCTATGCTCTGTGCTTGCTCCTACAGGCCCTCTCTGGATTCCAGCCCAGTGTGTGCAACCAGCCAAAGATGTCATGGCATCAAGTCCAGAACCCAATACTGGAAATGAAGCAGGTGACTCTTCAGGCAGCACAACGTCCCTTTCGCTCTCGCCATTGCAGTTGACCAACAACCTGGGGTGATGTGAAAAACCTAACATCCAAAGCACAGATGGTTCTGTGGCAACAGGGAAAAGAACTTACACCAGAGAATTTATGTGCTGCCATATTTGTGGTTTTGAGTGCAAATTCCTTAGTCATTCTTTGCCTAATTCTACTGTTACTGGGTTTATGATTCTTTTAATTGGAAACGGCCCTATATATTTTGGTCCAAGTTTTTTACAGGGTTGTAGGGACTTTAGGTATTTTGTAGATAGGTACACCATTTCACCTATAATGAATGGTGTAGGCTCAATCCTTTTCTTATCGGCTTGTGCTTTGTAAGCCTGCCTAGCTTCATCTAGTGCTTTTCTAACTATTGGCCAGGTGTTTTGTAGTTTTTCCATCCATTCTTTCAGTGATGGGATCGTTGGTTCGTTTGGGGTTAATTCTGGGATGGGGTTGAAACTTGGACCGTTGGCTATTTGAAAAGGAGTGTAACCTGTGCTGGAGTGGACTGCATTATTGTAGGCAACTTCTGCAAAAGGGAGTAAGTCCGCCCACTCGGTCTGCTGGAAACTAACAAAACATCTTAAATATTGCTTAAGTACGGAGTTCATTTTTTCAACCCCCCCATTTGATTCTGGATGATGGCTAGATGTCAGTCCCTGAGTGGTTCCTAAGAGGGATAAAAATTCATTCCAAAATGCAGATGTAAATTGCACCCCCCCTGTCAGAGATGATGTGTTGGGGTGCCCCATGCAATCTGTAAATGTGCTTGATGAAAAGTTTTGCTAAGGCTTTTGCGGTGGGAATCTTTTGGCAAGGGATAAAATGCACCTCTTTGGAAAACAAGTCCCTGACCATCCAGATAACAGTATTCCCATTACTTTCTGGCAA